ATTAATAATATTAAAACAGGCAATACTAAAAATACTCATTATCATAAACCCATGAGTTATGAGCAACTATCAAAATCATCCCAAAACGAATTATATCTAATATAACATTTTAAATGAATTACAAATAAAATAATATAAAATAGATAGAAATTAATTCAGCAATAATGCAATAATATATAGATAATTGTTATTCACTTTATAAACTTTTATTGGACCATATTAAAAAAATCGAAAGTTAACATGAGCAAAGCGATCCTATGAATCACACAAAATAGACAATAACATAGTATTGGCGGATGTGCAGTATACACATATGTATATACTATATATATATAGCATAAATTCCAACTAGATCGATATATGTGATATTGTAATAGGCAGAATATGCTAGGAAGTTGCAAACGCGGCCAAATGGGTTTTAAGCCACATTCGGCGGCAGATACCACTCTCGGGAAAAACAGGATACCAAGTTAAGCCTGTAATCAGACGTGTCCACCCAGGTCTATAGTGAGCACCTTCACACCAGTTTGTTATCAACTAATAATTTGAACAGTAAATAATTTGAAGAGCATTTCAATAAACAGTCTTACAACTTATTCAACGATTCACCTTGTCTATCATCATCACGGTCTTACTACCTGCATTATTAATATTTAAGTAGTCATCCAGACTACCAGAATATTACAAACTCAATCAATTCATTCAAAATCTATGAATAATTTATGAGAAATGGTATTATTTAATAATCACATAGAAAACACACACATTTGTAATTATTCATACTTCAATTTATCAGGAAGTATTTTTCACAAGGTAGAATTTAGGAACACGTGGATTTATACCAAGTGGGGAGGAAGGAAGAAAAATTGAAAAGTATTGAGTTACAAGGAACAGGCTTACTCACACTAGATAAAATCTGTATTGTGTTTGCTAGTCAAACAATGATACATTCCATAGTGGTAGTGCGAAACTCATATTTAAAAGATATAATACCTGACACAAAGTTAACAAAGTTATTGGAAATCAAAGACCAGGGTAAAGTAAAAATAAACATCAAATAGATAGAAATGATTGAAAAACTACAGGACAAGAGCGGTACACTGGATGACATAAATTTCAAATTGAGACAACAGTTAATGACCGACAAACATAACCTTAATATGGGTTATCTAATATGAAGTCTAGTAATAGTTTTTATTTTACTTTGCATAAGTTATCAGCCAAAAAAGCATTGTAAAAACACGGAAGAGGAGATACCACCTTCTGAACCGACAACAAATTACAGTTTAAGAAAACACAAACATATACACTTCGATTAGGTCAGCCGATGTATAAAAAAAAAAACTTTTTGTTTAACATTTAATATAATATCATTTTAAGGGTAGATGAATGTAGTGAAACTTTTTAGTAGCTAGTAAAATTAAAATATTATAATATCATATTAAATGCTGAAGATAGGTTAAATAGGTAATATAAGCATTCTAGTAAATGGTAATTCAACCAGTTGACACAACAGTCAATGACCGATATATATTTCTGTAATAGTTATTCTGGTTATCTAGTAGGAAGTATAGGAATAGTTTTTATTTTATTTTGTATAAGTAATCAGCTAAAAAAATCATTGTAAAAACACTGAGGAGGAGATACAATTATTTAAGGAAACACTAGAATATGCACTTTTATATCATTAGGGAAACTGACGAATAAACATTAAGCACTTAAAATAATATTATTTTAAGGTTGGAGGAATATAGTGCACTAGTAAGCTAACTAGTTATTAAAATTAGAATATTATAATATTTTATTAAATGCTCAAAAATGTAATATACACATTGTAGGAAAAACAAGTGTAAGACGTAAAAGGGGTCATTGCCGTATTGTAAATAGATTATCTATAGTATAAGCAATTTATGTAGTGGCATGATCACGAATCTCGATATACATATAAGGAAAGAAGAGATAGGCTGTGAGAGAGTCTGACTCGAGTACAAGAGTAATATATACGATTTACGTTTAGATTATACTTGTGAAATTATAATAGAGTACATATTTTAATTACAATTGTGTTACTTTATTTCGCCATAGGTACTCGATTGACAGTGCATCAAGCGAAACACGTTATTAGTTTTTTTTCTAGTGTTTATTTTGTTGGTCTCAGTTAAGGTCCTACTAATAGTAATATTGAACTAACTATTCGTCTACTGTCATACCCTTTTACACCTACAAATAGAAAATATATAAACCATCTATCTGCACTTATCGACCCACTCTTCAGCATAGCACAAGGAAATATCCTTAAAAGTTGTAAGCACGATTAAAGATATAATATTTTTAGTCGTGGTTTTCATATATTATAATAATAACTAATAATGACCGATAAGTAGAACATTGTTCGTCTCGAATATCGATAAGTGCCTAATGGTAGAGATTATTAAGAAGCCCACGATTAAAAAAAGAATACCTTAGTATCTTTAATCGTGCTTACTACTATTTTGATATAGTTTTGTAATATATATAAATAATAATATAATATACATTATAATATTAATAAACAGTAAGATGAATTTCCAATATGAATATACTTGGGTGTAGCACATCAAACGCAATTAAATTATATTTATAAATAAATTAACATTCCTTTAAAGTTTAAACTTAGTTCATACAAATTCATAATTCACAAATTGTCATTACTTAACAATAATCAATATTGGGTGACCTAGATTCACATGAGTGTTACGCGATAATAATTGCATCTCGATCATCCATGAATAATACGAGATATGATACAATTATCTTCCAATTACAAGCACATACCAATAATATATGGAAGAACACACAAGACATTGCAGATATTTGACCACAAAGTGGGGATAATATACTTTGCAATGCTCTATATACATAACACCTACACGGAGACGACTCTCTCGGAATAGTCTCATTTCTCTGGATATACCTATACATAGGTACATTTCTCTCCATATACTCTGCATATACTCTTCGGATCACTTGACATATTAGGACAAACTTATTCTCGGACCAATTGTTTCACGGCATCACGACGTTTTGAAGCATTGCGATACGGCAAGGAGGCTATATTCGATAAAGGCAAAGCGTAATGTCCTACGTCTACGTACAATGGTTTTAACACACCTCCATACATACTGTCGCCGTCGTGCAAAAAGTGTCTAAGTGAAATTTGAACTTTGTTGGGAAACGACAATTGAATATTCATAATGGTCTGGAAATTCCCAAACTCGTTTTATTTTAATAATGTTAGTCTTAAATAAGACGATTTTCATAATAATAATATAATCACAGAAACTTTTGTGTACCTATAGGAATAAATGAAACATAACCCTTTAAAATAAATAATATACATAATAATGTTTTTATACTTGCGTGTATAACTAAGTATTGAAATAAAACTACTTTATAATAAACAATAAACATAACAATATTGCCATCACAGAAACTTTTGTGTATAGGAATAAATGATACATACTACTTTAAAATAAATAATAAAAATAATACATTTTTATACTTTTGTGTACAACAAAGTAATTAAACAAACTAATTTATATTAAATAATAGACGATCGCCATAATAATAATAATAATAATAATAATAATATAATCACAGAAACTTTCGTGTATAGGAATAAATGAAATATTTGACTTTAAAGTAAATAATAAACGTCATAATAAAATTACTCTGATTGGTCTTCAAATTCAGTTATTATAATATTGGCATCTTTATTTTTTGTACAACTAGGAATATTTTTGTACCATTCATGGAATTCTTTTGGAATTGCTTCGGTATTGCACAACTTTAATAGATCTTTTTTTTTCACATCGAATATTGGTATTTGTTTTGTGTATAATATTGTTTTAATGTTTGTGGGCATTTTGGTGGTCTACCTCTCCCACCAACTCTTATTATTTTAAATTCCTCGTCTGAATAATTATATTTAAATTTTATGGCTGATGGGTTTGCCTTTTCGTATCTCATGACTTTTATTTTTAACCAATTAACTTTTTCACTATTTTCATCGACCGACCGATTTTTCATTATTGTTCCTGCTAAACTTCGCAAGTCCATAAAATCAGTGTATTTTAACTCTTGGGCAGAGTAAGGTGAAGAAGACTTTTTACGCCTATTTGATCTGGCTAAGCGACAAATGGTCAACCAATCATGAATAGTATAAACCGGTACATTTTCTATGGCAATATGCATACTATCGACCTCCATATAAGAGTGGCCGCTCTCCATAAAATTATGTGTCAATATATTTATATTTTGTGAATTATTTACAACAAACAAAAACAACGCTGCAATATATTCATTTCGGTTCTGGCCACTACACGTATCTGAATATAATGATATCTCATTTACATTTTGTGGAAGTTGATTTATCCATTTTAACAAGGCTGAACCGATTTCTGAAATACCCCGTTGCCCTTCAAGTTCAGTCCATAAATAGCAAAATGCTTTGTTCAGCGAAGCAGCTTCATATACTGTCAGATTATAAGCGCATAATTTTCTGCTATAATACATAGACGATACCTCTGACGACGGAATTTGAAGTACGCTTTGCAAATCAAAAGTTGCACTGCAAACATTTTCATTCAAAATGGCACGTTCCTTGTCTAAATTTTTTGCAGCGAATGACCCGTATTTTCTCCTAATATGATTTTCATAATTGGTTGCAATATCTTCTTGAATAGGTTTTTCAGCGTTTTTAAATTTTTCACATGACAAACATTGATCTTTTTTAGGTTTAAAAAAATCCAAATTATAATTTTCGGAAAATATAGTGCGGTAGGTGGTTAAAGATACAGGTTCATTTCCTTTTTTCGGTTGATTCATGAATGTACAACTCATGCATTTTTGAAATTGAAAGAGTTGGATCTAAATACTGCCGTTTTGTATTTGAACGGCAGTAGTGCGATTCAACAGCATATGATTTTTTATTGAATTTATAGTTTAAGAACTTTTTTTATTTACTGGTTCCTTCTTTCCTCTATTGTCTGTGTGAATATGAATTCCGGTTTTTTCATTATAACTTTCAAAGCTTTATCAACCGGTCCATGACTAATAGAAAGGGTTTTTAAAAAAAATGGTTTGCAAACACGAATTGGAGTATTGTCATTCAAAAATTCATAATTTTTAAATGTTTGTTTAGCGATTCTCGAACCTGTTATAGGAACATGTCGTTTAACAGAATATTGGGATACACGAGACAAAATGAAATTTTTTTGCTGTGCATAATCAAGTGACCAATATTCCCTGCATAATTGAACTCTATAATCCTCATTGAAAGTTATCGAACATTTAAACTTACATTTAGAACAATCTATCGCTAATGGTTTTTTGGATAATTTTCTTTTTTTTACAGAAACATTTCTTTTCCATTTCTCAGGCTGCCCTCGTCTCCACCTCACTAAATTATTATCCTCTTCCGTTCCAACTTCAATTTCTTGTTCTTTTTCAATTTCTATATCTTCAAATTCCTGTTCTACAATATCTTCACATTCCTTCGTCATAATATTTTCAGATAGATAATTGTCATTTTCTTCAGAGTCCGATGATTTGTGATTATTATTAGGTTTCCATTAATCTTCACTGTCTAAATTGTCATCACTGCTAAAATCTAAAGCTTTTCTCTTCATTTTGCAATATCTATCCTCAGTAGTAATATTATTATCAGGAGTTACTTTCCAATTTGTTAAAACTGCATACGTTTTTGGTGTACTTAAAATGACATCACCTTTTTTTAAAAAAAACAAGCCAGTAATCATCAAACTATTTTGAAATTATAAATATCATTAACTCTATTTAAATTATAATTATAATATAAATTTATAATTTATAATACTATTGCAAAATTATTACAATATTAATTGTGTTCTTATGAGTGACATGTAATTCGTTTTACGCGACTTATCTAGTGATCAACAAAAATTGTGTGACCAGTAAAATAATATTTCCTATACAACACGGCACACAACCTCATCACAGTATGTTTATATTATTATATAATAGGTAATATCCATAATATAATTAAAACTTAGTACTTACTGTTACTGTTGCATATCGATACCAATTTTTTGCTTCGTGTTAACGAAAATAAAAAAAATTTTAATGCGATCGACAGTCGAACGTCGAAAACTGAGTGATAACTTAACTTTATTATTTATATCATTATCATATTTTATTTTATAGTTGACAAAAGAAAAATAATAAATTACAGTGTGTCCATTTGGACATATTTTTTGTCAATAATATCGTATTGTATCAAAACTGTCCAAGTGCACTTGGTCATATATTGAATGTTATGTAAAAACTGATCAAATAAACGTGGACAATTTTTCCAAAGAAAAAAATAATTTAAACACTTAGTCAAAATACAACAGCCCTTAACTTGGTATATATTTAACATTTTCACTTGGTCGTTCTTTCTATAGTTAAAGGAGGACTATGGTAACTATTTGGCCATATTATTTCATTTGGTCACTTTTTGCACTCTTTTCTTATTTAATAGTTAAATTAATTCATTTCTATACTAAAAATCTTACCATATTACGTTGATTTCAACACCAAATATTAACTTATATTGGTATATTCATCTTAATATTTATAATCTAAAAAACACTTATGTTATTTATTATGTCATTTTCATTATTGAATTTTATCCTATAATAATTTTCATTATTGTCTAAAATTTTATCCTATTCCTTGATATACCATTTTATCCAATCATGATGTTTTAATATATATTTTAAACAAAGTACAAACTAAACAAAATATAAGGTAAATTACTAAAAAAATATATTATACGTTAAATACCAATATAAGAAACATTTAAGTTGTTATTACTACGAAATCCGTAACTCGTAACTCATAAGTTTATGTGAATTTGTAATATGAGTTTTTGGTTTTTTACCACTTTGAATGAATTTATCAGGTTGTTTATGGTTTAAAATACATTTGAAATCGGCTTAAATAACAATTGGGATTCGTTGAGTATTTTTATAGTTTTTGAAATGTATGAAATCATCATCTCCTTCTTCAAACATTATAGGTCTTCCTAATTTATTTTTAATACACATTTCTTTATGTCTAATTAATCCTGTTCCACCAAAAAGTTTGATTTTACACTGTTTATTTCAAAAACTTGTAAAACATATCTTATATAATATCAACTTTGAACAATTTTTAATTCTTTGGATTCTAATAAACCTTGAAAGTTGTTAATATAACAATAATGAGATGTATTTTTTTTATCACACCAAAAACGCTTCGTTAAGTTATTGTTGATACATTATTAATTACTGTAAATACTGTAGTGATTACTTAATTGTATTTATTTAAGTATACTTCTGCGTCCTGCCAAATAGTTAAACATGATATGTTGACTAAGTATTTAGCATTACAATTTATCTTATTTGTCATCATAGGTATTTGTAATATTATAAAATGTTATTTTACTTAATTTCAATATTATATCACGTCTTTTAAAGATTGAATCATTATTACATTTTTTTTTTTTAACTTGGCATTTTTTTTTACACGGAGTTATAACGAAGTGTTTTTGGTGGATATCAGCTATTTTTTATATGAAATAAGTCGCGATTTTATTTTACTGTATATAATAATAGTAATCCATAAAAGCATATGCATCGTTGGCCTCCTGTTGTCATATGTTATTTTCTATTTTAGTTTTTTTTTCTAAAACTAGAATATAAATATTATATCGTTACATCTAACCCATATTTTATTATTATGTTTAATAACTGATGTGTAATGGGCTTGAGACTTGAGAGTCATAGATGGACCATGAGGGCAAATCACAGAATTAAGAGCATATGATTTGATATCGACCTTAATTGTTGCCACGTCTACTGAATTAATCATCAAATTGCCTATTTTATTTTATTATTGTTCCAAGTTTTCAGCATAATAATATGATACCATCGAGCTGGATCACGAATTCACTAAACAATCACAGTCGTTGAGTCGTCAGAAAGTACCTATAATCCATATTATACTATCTTGCTGGTCGTCACTCTTCAGCAAATAGCAATACACGAAATCGTATAATGGTAAATGGTTGCCAACGACCAGTATTCGAGATACCGCTCCGTCGCAATCGCCAATCGTCGTACGTCGTTGCCGCAGCCGCCGCCGCCGCGATGAGAGTAGTGGGATAAGTTAAGCGGCGCGGCGGGTCGGGGGATATTTACTATATTTTCGTTCCCCGACCCACCGCTTATCCATCCCCACTGTTCCGTACGCAAAATCGGTCTTAAAAGTACTTGAACATTTTTGCTTATAACTTATAAACTATCTAACCAATCTGCTAGCGAATTCCTCTGTTCCCATCTGCACAATATTAATTATGATCGATTGATAGGACTTTATATGTTGAGCCGTTTGCCTTGTAGAGCTTGGCAAAGAATTGACATAAATTAGGACGATTTTTCAATGTTAAAACTCAGTGTCCTGTTATTATACGTTAGTGGCTATTCCGCTATTTTTTTTTACTTAGCTTTGCGTCACTACCGTCGAGCTGGATTAAATAGAAATAGGTCAAAATGATTTTTTTTTCAATATTGGTTATATTATGTAATGGATGAATTACATTTTTATCATCTAAGCTGTACATATTAATCGATAAATTCGATAAATTGTTTATTTTTTCAAATATTTTTATCTGAGTTATAGGTGTTGAAAAATCAATACATTTAAAATTAAACCTACTTTTTTTTCTAACCTATCAAAATATTTTTTTAAACCGAGATTTATTCAACCGCATGTCGTACTTAGATGATATTGAATATTTGAAATATTCATTATCATTATTTTTGTATGTTTATAACTGTTTTTTTTTTTTTTTTTTATATGACTAGGTAAATCTAAATATGTACTTCCTCCTTTAAGAGGATTAACTTTATTAACTCGTAATTGTAGACAATCTATAGATTTAAGTGACTAGCCTGATTTTTTTCATATAAATTGTGCTTCCTCAGATAATAGTTTGTTGAATATTTTGTTTAATAAGTTATTAAAATTGGATGATTTGTATACTAATATGTTTGAATTTTTAAACGACATATCTTGTACTTCATCCGTTAATAGTTTTTCATACGTGCTATCAACATGTAAATTTAATTTAATTGTTGACTGCTGATTTGATTGTGTTAACATTTCTGAAACATAACTAAAAAGTACATGGTAGTCTATTATTTCTTCCTTGTTCTTAACAATAAACGTTCTCGAAAGCTTTTAAATCGTTCAATTTCAACAAATCCGCTCTCAGCTGATTCCATCCAATTGAATTGTTTGATTGTTAGTTTTTTTATTTATGAGATATATTTCTCATCATATCTAAAACAAAAAATGCTGAATATGTTACGGGTACAGGTACGGTGTCAATACTATAGTCTGTTCATTTTAAGAAGCGATTCAGGCGGCCAACTTGTGCGCATGGGCGTGACCTCGTAGATCTCGTTTGTCTTAATAATTACCGCCGACGGGAGCGACGCATTAGTCTAGTGTTTATTGCTTACGTGTACACATAATTTAAAGTGTATGTACGCATGACGCACGCACGCACATACACCTAACGCGGTGCACATAACGAACGCTCGCACAGGTGGTGAAAACAGTAAGGTGGGGATCGGTTGGGCGTGACCTGTCCGCCGCCGACAAAAACTAGTCGCCGCCTGAATCGCTTCTTAAAATGAACAGACTATAGTAGGGAACGGATTACTTTGTAAACCAACTCCTTTTGTTAAGAACCGTCTACAATACTATACATTGTGTATAATAAGTAATAACAATAATCTTTAAATCGAACAAACTGGTATAAAGGATTGTATGTTTGAAACGTATAACCACTAGTTCTTTCATGATGATAACATGCACTGCTACACCACTTTCGGTCCCCTATATTTTGTATACACAGTTCAACTAATGTATAATTTCCAAGTGGATCGGTTAAAATATTTAATACATGATCCATTACCATAAATGGATAATAATCTCCTACTAACATAAAATTTATTTCAGGATTAAAACGATAATACTCTTAAGATTCTAGAACAATGTTGATTGTTCTACTCCGTATATTGTTTGATCGATTGAAGGCATATTGAAATTAAAAAAATTCTAAAAATTAGAATAAATAATTAAATTAAAAAAAAAATTATTGTAAAATAATATTAAATTAAATTTATAACTATTTTATGTTAGCATAACTAATGCTTAACAAGAAAATTTGTATTTTAATTGAATATTGTACACGAAATTGAACTTTTTCCGTATGTGTTTGTGTTGAGAGTTGTGTGGCGATATGATATATTATAATATAAGTTTGTGAGACTGTTGTTCAATACAATGTTTACGATGAAACTGATTCCTCCCTGATAATATGAGTACTGTTATATGGACGTTTCATTGAAGCGGATGTTAAGTTTTTGTAATAATATATTTCTAATACACATTTTATAATATTCACTTCAATGAAAAGTGTATATGACAG